TTATGATCCACATAGTCGAATGCCTTTACACAGTCAATAAAACACAGGTAAACATCTTTCTGGTATTCTCTGCTTTCAGCTAGGATCCATCTGACATCAGCAGTGATATCCCTGGTTCCACATCCTCCTCTGAATCTGGCTTGAATTTCTGGCAATTCCCTGTCAATATACTGCTGCAACCACTTTTGAATGATCTTCAGCAAAATTTTACTGGCATGTCATATTAATGATGTTGTTCAATATTTTCTGCATTCGGTGGGATCACCTTTCTTGGGAATAGGCATAAATACAGATCTCTTCCAGTCAGTTGGCCAGGTAGCTGTCTTCCAGATTTCTTGGCATAAAGTGAGTACTTCCAGCACTGCCTCTTACTTTCTTTAAGAACACTAATTTATGACTTTCATAAAATCCTGCAGAAGAGAAAATTGACTCTTAGCTTAAGTCTGACTTTCCTAAAGTCATAAAATAGACCCCAACTCTCCTGGTCCTGAATCCAGTGAGTCATTTCCATTTCATCTTGATACTTATGGTTATGATAGTATGGTCATCTGTTTCTCTATTAATACTCCCCTCCTGAAAATCAGACATTCTATATAGAATAACCACCAGGAGCTTATTTTCTACTGTTTTAAATGGGAAAAATTAAAATGCATTACATGTCAATCTAGAACTTCCAACCAGTTTCCTAAATATTAAACAAAACACAGAGAAAAATATCTATTTCTAAGTAACAAATATTATTAAAATGTTAGAGCTAAAAACAACTGTCTGCTCTCCAAATAGTTCAGTGTAGTTGGTAAGAAGCTATTGCTTTCTATGCAGTAATGCACAGCACACCTCCTTTGACACTCTGCATGCTTTATCAAATGTCTAGATGGGATTCTGATATTCTGTCAAGAATGTTAAGACTTTCCCTGCACATCGTTTTATTAAAAATGTATTGAATTTTGGGTATGTATGTATTAGTGTTTCCTATGTAAGCAGCCACTGAAAAATCATTGTATTAAGTTGGGATATTAAAAACCAAAAGGCCAAATGTCTTGTTATATGTATTTTTTCCACAATCAAAAAACGGAAACAAAAAGGCCTTACAGGGGGAAATGTTAGCCAGAGAAATGGCCTGCAACATGTGCTAGTAATTAACTGGCATTAAGCAGAGAAAATGAAAGCTAAAGCCAGTGAAAAATATAGTCACATAGTTCTCCATTCTGGATCCCCGTGGCACAGTAGTTAAGAGCTCAGGCTGCTAACCAAAAGGTCGGCAGTTCGAATCCAAAGCCGCTCCTTGGAAACCCTATGAGGTAGTTCTGTCTGTCCTATAGGGTCACTATGAATCAGAATCTACTGAATGGCAGTGGGTTTGGGTTTTTTTAGTTCTCTTATTTAGGGTTAATGCAGTTGTGTAGCTCAGAAAGCTAAGGTTCTTTCTGGCAATATCTTATTATTTACTAGGATAGCCGCAGCCGCTCGAGCCTAGAAGAGACTAGAGCAGAGTAGCTGGGAAAATTTAAGTGTAAACATGCAACTAACCACATATACCGAGGGTATCTCAAGGAGCTGACTCCATTTCAGGGCCTGGACCTTTAGCAGAAGCTCTTATTCTACCATTGTGTATCTGCAAGGTCTGAGTTTTTAAGTGGTTGCATATTTATGTTGTTGTTGTCGTCTATCGCCACGGAGTCAATTTCAACTCATGACAACGCCATGTGTTACAGAATAGAACTGCTCCCTAAGGTTTCCTTGGCTGTAATCTTTATGGAAGCAGGAGCCCTGGTGGTGTAGAATCTTTATTGTCAGGCCTTTTCTTCTGCGGAGCCATTAGGTAGGTTCGAACCACCAACCTTCTGGTTACCAGCCGAGTGCAAACTGTTTGCACCACCCAGGGACCTGCATATTCACGTACATAGCATTACTGCACGTGTACTGAGACCACTAGATGGCTAGTCTGAATTTTGCTCTTCTCTTTCTTACTGCTATCCTTTTCCTTCCTTTGCTTTCCTAACTCTGAACATCCTGTTTTCTAGGAGCTGAGCTCAGTACACAAGCTTTGGTATCTGTCAGACATCTAGGGTAGGAGGAGTGAAAGGAGGGCTGGCTTAAAATCGTAACTTGGAGATTGTGGCAATGGATTGCTTTTGGTTAAATGCTCTGCATTTGGAAAGCAGGCTACGTAGTTCCTCTAATCCAGAAATTCTCAACCTTTTGGGAATATATAGAGATAATTTTTCTTTATAGCTGTTATAGTCACTGATTCTACTTATGAGTATTTTATGGTGTTTTCTAATACAGTTTTGCTTGAACATTGCTTGATTACTATAGCTTTATAGTATGTTTTAAAGTAAGAAGTATGAGTCCTACTTTATTCTTCAAGATTGCTTTGGCTATTCAGGGTCCTGTGCCCTCCCACATGAGGACTGGCTTTTCCATTTTTGCAAAGAAGGCTGTTGGAATTTTGGTAAGGATTTCTTTGAATTTATAGATTGCTTTGGGGAGTATTGACATCTTAACTATATTGATCCTTCCAGCCCATGAACGTGTGTTGTCTTTCCATTTATTCAGGTCTTCCCTAGTTTCTTTCAATATGTTTTATAGCTTTCTGTGTACAAGTCTTTCACCTCCCCGGTTAAATTTATTCCTGGGTACTTTATTTTTTTTGCATGTTGTTGTGATTTGTATTTTGAGTTAGTACAAGTTCAAAGTGTAATACAAGTTTCTCAGAGCCAACATGGTGCTGATGCAGTGAACTTCTGGGTACAAATATGTGCATTTTAGGCCCAATTCTCTGTTACTAGTGTAAGCCCCTTAACAGCTTTGCATCTCTACAGCAAACTTGAAAGCTCTATCTTAGAAAGGCATTGTAGTTTCCTGATTATTTGAATGAATTCCTTGGTTTGGAATAACAAGGACCAAGGCTGTAGACCTAAATTTAAGGCATAAGAAGGTGAAAGGTTTTTACTTTAAGGAGAATTTGTAGAAAATGAAGATATAGACTCAGTCTGTGTGGAGCATGATATAGTTATAGTCTTTTAAACTAAGATATGTAGAATGTTGTTTATTGGACTTCCTAGGGAAATAAGCACATCACTCTGAGTATTCTCGTTTTTGCTTTTATTTTATGGAGGATTAAACTGCTTGGATGACTTGAAGTGCTGAGTTGGTATTTATTATTTGAATACACAGCAACAAAATTTTAGACGTAGTGTTATAATTCTTGCTTTTAAGTTAACAAAGGCAGAATTCTCACCAATTTTTTTTTTTTTTTTAATTTCAATGGCAAAGTAGAGCCATAAAGAAAGAGTTAGGAATAATATCTGCATTGAAGGTGAAAGACGATGAGTAGCTGACTATAAAGAGTCCTCGAAGGCTAAAAACCTATCAAAAACTGAGATAATTATTCTTGGATAATTTAAGAATAGCCAGGTATCGTTTCTATAACAGAATGAATAAATGTGACAAACCCACCAAGATAAACCTATGGAGAACAAGTCATAGATTTTAGGCTTATCTGTACAGTGCTTTATACATGGAGATATGTATTAATGCTTTTTAAAATTGATTCTCACTTTTTATTTATTTTATTGTGCTTTAGGTGAAAGTTTATAGCTCAAGTTAATTTCTTATATAAAAATTCATACACATATTGTTATGTGATACTAGTTACATTGCTGTAATGTGATAGCACACTCCCCTTTCCACCCTGGGTTTCCCGTGTCCATCCTAACAGCTCCTTTTCCTTTCTGCCTTCTCATCCTGCCTCCGGACAGGAGCCGCCCATTTGGTCTCGTGTATCTGCTTGAACTAAGAAGCACACTCTTCATGAGTATAATTTTATGTTTTATAGATCAGTCTAATCTTTGTCTGAAGAGTGGGCTTTGGGAATGGTTTTAGTTCCGGGTTAACAGAGCATCTGGGGGCCATGGCTTCAAGGGTTCCTCCAGTCTCAGTCAGACCATTAAGTCTGGTCTTTTTACATGAATTTGAGTTCTGGACCCCCCTTTTCCCATGTTCCATTAGGGACTCTCTGTTGTGTTCCCTGTCAGTGCGGTCATTGGTGGTAGCTGGGCACCATCTAGTTCTTCTGCTCTCAGGCTGATGAAGTCTCTGGTTTATGTGGCCCTTTTGTCTCCTGGGCTAATATTTTCCTTGTGTCTTTGGTCTTCTTCATTCGCCTTTGCTCCAAGTCACCTGGGACCAGTTGATGCATCTTAGATGGCCGCTTGCACGCTTTTAAGACCCCAGATGCCACTCACCAAAGTGGGATGCAGAACATTTTATTAATAAACTTTGTTATGCCTTTTGATCTAGATGTCCCCTGATACCATGGTCCCCAGACCCTAGCCCCTGCTATTCTGTCCCTTGAAGTGTTTGGTTGTGTTCAAGAAACTTCTTAGTTTTTGGTTTAGTCCAGTTGTGCTGACTTCTCCTGTATTGTGTTTGTCCTTCCCTTCACCTAAGATGATTCTTGTATACTACCTAGTTAGTGAATGTCCCTCTCCCTCCCTCCCCTAAAATTGATTTTTAAGAGTTATAATTAATAAAAGCCTCTTACAGCTATAAACTAAAAAGTGGTCCAAGTTAGGAAGGAAGTTAAGCTGGTGGGCCTTTTGTATTCCTTTTTCAGTCTCAGCTATTCCTCAAACCAAAAACTAGTAACTGTGGAGTTGATTCTGGCTAATGGCGACCCTATGTGTGTCACAGTGGAACTGTGCTCCATAAGGTTTTCAGTAGCTGATTTTTCAGAAGTAGATTGTCAGGACTTTCTTCTGAGGCACCTCTGGTGGACTCGAACCTCCAATTTTCAGTTAGCAGCAAAGTGGGTTAACTGTTTGCACCACCCAGGGACTCTACATATATTTCACTTTTTTTTTCCATCTAAGAAAAGGCCACCTGTAGCCTACAGAAAACACTGGACATGCCATTGGAGAAAATCAATGATCATTCCGGGAGTGGTGGTGGATGGTGTGTTTTCTCCTGTTACTAACGCTGATTCTTATTTGCAGTGTGGCTTCCTGGTGTGGTGCATGGCACCGAGCCCTTCTAACGGGGCTGAACTGCTCTACAAGCGCATCATCCGTCCTTTCTTTCTGAAGCATGAGTGCCAGGTAGATAGTGTGATGAAGGATCTGAAAGACAAAGCCAAAGAGACTGCAGATGCCATCACTAAAGAAGGTAAGACTCAGGGACAGCGTGGTTTACATGTGAAAGGAGATGTGATATACTAGGCCCAAATGGCAGGCTTCCTGATCTTGTCCTGTTAGCTTTCCTCAGCTAACTGCCAAGGCTACTCAGGGATTTCTTTCCAGACATTAGTTGTTGCTCTTTACTTTTTCCAAGATTCTTCTTTCATGCAACATTTAATGTTCATAGGGGTAGAAGAGGAGCTAAAAAGTCACTGAATTCTTGATATATTTTGCAGTTAGAACCAAAAGGATTTGCTTATGGATCAGGTGTGGAGTATGAGAGAGAGGAGTCTAGAAGGCCAAGGCTTTTAGCCTAAACAGGTGGAAGGACAGAATTGCCATTGAGCTGAGGAAGACTGAGTAGAACAGGTTTAGAGGGGAAAGTAAAGAACATGGTAAGTTTGAGATGTCTATTAGATACCTGTATGGAGCAGTCAAATAGCCAGATGGATATAGGCATCTACAGTTCAAGAGACAGTCTGGACTGGGGATATAAATTTGGGAGTCATAAACTTATAGGTGATTTATTAAGTATGAGACTGAATGAGATCACTAAGAAAGTGAGTGCAGGTAGAAAAAAGGTCCAAAGACTGAGCCCTTGTAGCCTCCAATTTAGAGATTAGGGAGATGAAAACAAACAAGCAAAGCAGACTGATAGGAAGTGGCCAGTTGAGGTAACAAGAAAATCATGATGGTGTGGTATTTTGGGGCCAAGTGAAGGAAATTTCAAAGAGAGAGGGAGTTATCAATTGTGTCACATGCTGCAGACAGGTCAAGATAATAAGGACTGAGAACTGACCACTTGATTTAGCAATGAGGAAGGCACTAGTCTTCTTGACAAAACAGATTTTGTAGAGTGGTGGGAGCAAAATCCTAACTGGAATAGATTTGATAGAATGGGAGGAAAGGCATTAGTGAATATAGACAACTCTTTGAGAATTTCCTGCAAAACAGAGCAGAAGAATGGGGCTATAACTGGAAAAATGAACTGGGGTCTGGGAATGACTTTTCCTTTTTTTTAGGGTAGGAAATTCAAAGTATGCTTGAAAATTAATGGGAGTGATCCATTAGAGAGCAAAAAATGATACATGTGAGATGAGTTGCTGGAGTTCTGTCCCTGAGTAAGCCAGAGGAGACAGGCTCTAGCGTACAGAGGGACTGGTCAGGGGTACAGGAATAGTTTTTCTATATGGACAGGAGGGAAATCAGGATTTATGAGTACAGATGATAGTGGGTGGATATATGTGATGGTGGGAGCTTATAGAAGTGATTTTCTGATTGCTGTAAACTTCTTGGTAAAGTAGGAAAGTCAGTTGAGATGAAGATGGAGAAGGAAGTGATGGAAAGAGGAGAAGATATGAAATAGTCGTCCAGGATGGGAGTTGGCAAAATTTTTCAGTCAAGGATCAGATAATAAATATTTTAGGTTTTGTGGGCCATAATTTCTCTGTTACGAATACTCAGCTATGTCATTGTAGTGCGAAAGCAGCCATAGACAATACATAAATGAATGAGTGTGGCTGTAGTTTGCTGGCCTGTGTTCTAGAATAGTGGAGAGTGAATGGACCAGGACAGTGTCCTATGATTGCAGGCAGCATTAAGAGCTCACTTGAGGTCTGGGTTTATGAATTTAAAGTGAACCCAGTTGGTGTGATTTTCTCCAGCCACATTCAGCTACATGGATGCAGCTGTAGAATAGGCGAAAGTTGTGTCAAGGTTGTGATTTTGTTAAGCATAAACTACAAAGTGAGAGTGGGACTAGGGAGTGGTTTTAACGTTTGTGGAATTTAAACTGGGTAAAGAGGGAAGTGAGGACATATGAAAAATGAGGAACAGTGAAAAAGGTAGTGGTAGGATCAATGGATCATAAAACCAGGTTGGGTGAGGAACTCTGGATCAGGATGGTTACAGGGAGTGAGCTGCAAAGATAAGTGCTGGTAGCCCAAGAGTGGCATGTTTGCCATTGAGATTATGGCAAGATTGGAGTTATTGGAAATGACAAGGATTGTGGGAGTGAGTGGCTGTGTGTCTTAGTTACCTAGTGCTGCTACAACAGAAATACCACAAGTGGATGGTTTTAACGAAGAGAAGTTTATTTCCTCACAGTCAAAGTAAGCTAAAAGTCCAAATTCAGGGCATCAGCTCCAGGGGAAGGCTTTTTCTCTGTCAGCCTTCTTCTGTTTGGTGTTCCCCCAGATTAGGAGCTTCTCTGCAAAGGATGTGCTCTGCTCCCGGCACTGCTTTCTTGATGGTATGAGGTCCCCAACTCTCTGCTTGCTTCCTTTTCCTTTTATCTCTTGAGAGATAAAAGGTGGTGCAGGCCACACCCCAGGGAAACTCCCTTTACATTGATCAGGGATGTGACCTGAGTAAAGGTGGTGTTACAATCCCACCCTAATCCTCTTTTTAACATAAAATTACAATCACAAAATGGAGGCCAACCACACAATTCGGAGAATCATGGCCCAGCCAAATGGATACACACATTTTTGGGGGGACATAACTCAAACCATGACACTGTGTTAGGATGGAATATAAAGGTTATTGGAGGGGAGGAACTAAGAGGTCAGAGTATTGGAAGAATCATTTAGCTCTATATGGATAGTGAAATCACCAATAATTAAAACAGGAGTGGTGTTAGAGAGTAACAGTAAATTAGAAGCTAAAATCTTGAAAAAATGAGGGAGAGCCCAGGGGTCAGAGATGAATGGAAAAAAGGAAGGCTAGTGGAGATATAATCTGTTGACATGAGATTCTCAAAGTGGCAATGAAAAACAAAAACAACACCTACCAGACCTCCAGACCCAGCGGTACTAGGGTCATGGGGGAAGAAACAGCCACCACTTGAGAGGGCTACAGGAAAACAATGCCCTCGGGACAGCCAGATTTGGAGAAATGGATGAGGGAGAATAAAGTAGACTTTGCTGCTGCTGCTGCTGCTGATGGGTCTTGAGTTCCAGAGGACATAAGTGTTTTAGAAATTGGAGAAAAGTGCGAGATGGGCATAGAATAGGGGATCTTTTAGAGCTCTCTGGTAATTAAAATGTGGGAGATTAGAGGGGGCCTGATCACTGGGGAAATAAGATCCCTGCCAAGACAGTCCTCCAGCAGCACTGACATCTAGTGGTGATGTGTTCACCCCATTTTTCCCTCACAGACATCTCTCCCCACTGGAGTCTTATTTTTGGGCACACAGTTCTAGTCTTCAATAAATTTTTCTAAGATTTTAAGTGTTTTCTAACTTGTAGCCTTCATATCCTTCCACTTTGGAATTGCCAGTTTATTTTTGTTTTAAATCTTTTATTTATTGTGGTAAAAGATACATACCATTTGCCATTTTAACCATTTTTAAGTGTACCATTCAGTGGCATTAATTACATTCACTATGTTGTGAAACCATCACCACTATCTATTTCCACAGTGGGTTTTTTTTTTTTTTAAATGATTTGTTGATGTGGGAACATCTTTTCATGTGCTTATTGTCATTTGTTATCTTCTATGGTGAAATGTCTATTCAAGTCCTTTGCCCATTTTTAAAATTGGGTTTTTTTGTTGTTGAGTTGTAGGAATTCTTTACATATTCTGAAAATTAAACCCTTATCAGATATCAAAACCAAACTGCTGTCAAGTCAGTTCCGACTCACAGCATCCCTGTAGGACAGAGTAGAACTGCCCCATAGGGTTTCCAAGGCTGAAATCTTTACGGAAGCAGACTGCCACATCTTTCTCCCACAGAGCGGCTGGTGGCTTCGAACCACCAGTCTTCCCATTAGTAGCCAAATGCTTAACCACTGCGTCATCCTGTGGGTTGTCTTTTCACTTTCTTGATAGTGTCCTTTGATGCATAAAAGTTTTTGGTTTTTATAAAGTCCAGTTTATGTATTCTTTTATTGCCTGTGTTTTTGGTGTCTAGGAATCCATTGCCAAATCCAAGATTATAAAGATTTACTCCTATATTTTTCTACCAAGAGATTAATGATTTTAGCTTTTGTATTTAGGTCATTGATCCATTTTGAGTTAATTTTTCTATGTGGTGTGAGATAGGGATCCAACTTCATTTTTTTGCATGTGTAAATCCAGTTGTCCCAGCACCATTTATTGAAGAGACAATTCTTCCTTGCTCAATGGACTTGGCACCCTTGTAAAAAATCAGCCACAGATGTATAGGTTTATTCCTGGAATTTCAGTTCTATTCCTTAGGTCTGTATGTCTGTTCTTATGCCACCTGCACTGTTTTGATTTACTGTAGCTTTGTACTAAGCTTGCAAGATTGTTTTGTCTATTTGGGACCTCCTGCAGTTCTATATGAATTTGAGGATTGACTTTTACATTTTTGCAAAACATGTTTTGGGATTTTGATAGGGATTGCATTGAATTAGGATCACTTTGGATATTACTGTCATCTTAATGATACTGCATTCCAGTACATAAACATGTACATCCTTCTGTTAATTTAGGTCTTTAATTTCTTTCTGTAATGTTTTATAGTTTCCAGTGCACAGATTTTTCACCTCCTGGGTTATATTTATTCCTAAGTATTTTATTCCTTTAGATGCTATTGTAAATGGAATTGCTTTCTTAATTTCCTTTTTGGATTACTCATTGCTGATTTATAGAAACTGGACTAATTGACTTTTGTATGTTCAGTTTGTATACTGCAAATATGCAGAATTTATTAGCTCTAGTAGCTTTCTTGTAGATTCTTTTGGGTTTTCTACATACAGGATCATATCAACTGCAAATAGAGATAATTTTTCTTCGTCCTTTCCATTTTGGATGCCTTTTCTTTCCTTTTTTTTCACCCTAATTGCTCTGGCTAGATCTTCCAATACAATGTTAAATAGCAGTGGTGAAAGGGGGCATCTTAGTCTTGTTAAGTCTTTCACCATTGAGTATGATGTTAGCTGTGGTTCTTTCATACATACCCTTTATCAGGTGGAGGAAGGGCCTTTCTATTCTTAGCTGCTTATGTGTTTTTATCATGAAAGTGTGTTGGATTTTGTCAGATGCTTTTTCTGTGTCAATTGAGATCATGTGGTATCTTATACTGATGGATTTTCTAATGTTGAACTACTCTTGCATTCCTGGGATAAATCCCACTTGGGCGTGGTATAATAATCCTTTTAATACGCTGTTGGATTAGTTTTGCTAGTATTTTGTTGTAGAGTTTTTGCATCTACATTCATAACGGGTATTGGTCTGTGGTTTTTGTTTTTTGTGGTATCTCATCTTGCTTTGGAAATCAATAATACTGGCTTCGTAGAATTAGTTAGGAAGTTTTCCTTCCTCTTCTGTTTTTTGAAAGAGTTTGAGAAGGACTGGTATTTGTCTGCATTTCTTAGCCTCTTGGTTCTCTTAGATACCAATATGCTAAAATCCAGTTTTACTTTTGTATGGTACATTCCTAAGCAGGAGTGTGAGAATTAAAATAAGTTGGGAGGAACTTACATGCTAGCACATTTTAGACTTTTCTCAAAGCTTCTGGATTCACTAGGAAGTAAAATTTTACAAAGGGCTAGTTAAGAGACAAGTTGCAATTTCTTCTTTGTTAACTTTGTTCAGTTTTTTAATTGAGTGAAAGGAGAGCAGCTATCAGGCAGTTGGCGGACAAGGACAGACTTCTTGGCTGTCATCACTGAGAGTCTGGCCTCCATCAGAAACAGTTGCACTTTGTGGAATCTCACAGGAGGCCCTGGTGTCTTCTGCATAATCCCCCTACTTCCCTCGGCCCATCACAAACCACACTGGTTCTTACAGCACATTCCAAGCCATGTGGTAATTAGGAAAGGGAAGGCTTAGTCACCTACAGATGTAAGAATATTTTCTTGATGAAAGTAGTATTGTTTCTTATGGCCACTAACTTGCAAACTTGCAGCAAACTCTTACTTCCAATCATAGGAGGAAATGGTGGCATAGTAAGATAGTAATATTTGTATACATATACCATCATCTCTGGGATTGCAGTTATTGGAAATGACAATCCCTGGAATGAAGACTTTCTCTGATTTTTTTTTTTTTCACCATGGGACTGATACGATGACCAAGTTGCCATGAGATTGGTACGTAGTGAAATCTTACAGGCGAGCACCCAGATACAAACAAAAATTTCTTGGTTATACAGAAGAACACTGTATCGCTAAGGAATCTCTGCTTGTTTTAACAAAGTAGGGCAGCAGGCAGATAGCTTAGGTGACACTGTCACTACAAGGGGCTTAAACTAGATGACTTTTAAGAACTTCTTTGCTCAAGAATTCAGGATTTGTGTTCTGAGGGAAGTACCTTGACTACTTCCTGCAGACCCTCTTAACCCTGACTACAAACCTCAGTGTGCTTTCCTCTGAACATGACTCATCCAAGTTTTGTTATCTAGTAGCTACGTTAGGCACAGAGCCTATGCTGCAAAGAGGTTTGATGTGATTTTCTTTCCCTCCTTAATAGCGAAGAAAGCTACCGTGAATTTACTGGGTGAAGAAAAGAAGAGCACCTAAACCACCGACTGGATGAAACCTTTCTGCCCTCTCCATACCTTCCTGTTAGAGCTTGATGTTATATTAGGGACTGTGGTATGATCATTTTATAATGTTGCCTTGGAAACATTTTGATATATTGAAAAACGAATTTTTTTTTTTTTTTTTTTTTTGCTTATTTTTACTGTCTATGTACGTAGGGAACATTTTAAATTTAATGCAGTGGACAGTGTCCAAATTTTTAGAAAATTTGTCTCTAGGAAGGGAAGGATACATGTTACTGTCCTGCAGGAAATATAAACTTAAAATTACGTGTCTCATAGGTTCTGTATTTCACTGGGCTTTCTCTGCATGCATTTTCTCTGTACTTATATTTAGTATATTCTATGGTTCTTCATGTAATGTACAATTTTCTATAATTCTTAAATGTTTTTAATGTATTTGTGCATATATATGTATATACATATATATATGGATATGCGACTGGCTAACTATACATGCATAATTCTCATGGGGAAGGGAACGTCACATATGCTATCTATAACTTCTGTACAATAAGCCCACCTGCCAAAAGCTGAAGGTTCCATTGTGCTGTTGTGATCTGCTAAATAACACTTCAGAAAATACTAATGAGTAATATTTCAGATGAACAGAGTTAAGTGAGAAATGAGGTTGAATGGTTGGTTTCCTAACATTGAAGCAACTGAATCCCAGGACAGCTTTGTGAAGCAGTTAGTCTTGAACGGGGAAATGTACACATGTATTCGTTATCTATATCTCCCAGTTCCTTATAGAACTAGTTAATACTGTCTGGTGGCCTTTTTAAAAAATCTGCTTATGAGCTTTAGATTTGTCTGTTTATAAGATGTTAAAATGGAAACCATCCTTGATTTCACCTTCAAAGCTGAGTAACATGTTGGTTTAGACTTCTTTCGCAATCTTACTTTTGCTTTTTTTAATTTTAACCAGTTTAAGGAACGTCCAAAGACTTGACCAGCTCTGATTACATATGTGTTCTTGTTTATATTATTAGCTACAACATGCTAATGATGACATCTGCTCTAAGAGCAATTCTGATGAAAGGAAGTAGGATGGAACCTATAATCTAGTTGGCAGTGGTTGTGTCAAACTGCCTTCATCTCCTTTCTCTTGGGCCTGCAAGGGCTTTAAGGTCAAACACAAGAAGCTTCCCTAACTTACAAGTCAGAATCATTAGTAATCCATTTAAATGACTTCATCTTTATTCTGTTTTGATAAATCCTGTATAATTATACAGTTTAGGTACAGAACAAAAAAGTTAATGCCTCCAACTTGATCAGCCAAGTAGTTTATATGGGTCTTGACAGCTTGTTTGGACTAGAAAACCTGAGCTTTACATCATAACATTAGGATCCTTTTGAATTGGACTAAACTTGACTAAAAGAAGAATACAACAAAATTAACAAGATTAAATATTCAGCCAGTAAAACTGTTTTTGTAAGGCAAATAAAAATGATTAGTTCTCCTTTAGATAACAAGGTAAGATCATAATGATGCCTCATGATGTAAAATATATTGACGGTATTAAAAATAGGGGATTAAATCCCCAAAATATTATAATACGGATAGTGGCATTTTTCTTTTTCGGGCAAAAACAGTGTTAATTAAAGGCGTTTTATTAAACTTTCCTTAAAAAAAAAAAAAGTTTAGAAGTTTAGAGAGCATTTAGTTGTCACTGGGAGAAAAATCAAGCCATATATATATAGTGCCTGAGTATTTAAATTCCTTTTCCATAATAACAAACTATGCTTTTCTTGGTGGCAGAGGAATGAAAATTAGCAACTTCTAGCATACACATGGGGTTGCCAAGAGTCTCAATTTACTGGCCAGCAACTAACAAGTATACAGAATATGTAATCAGGTTGTTTAGTACACAGACTATATAACTTTTAGTATACAGAAAATATAATCAGAAAGACAGGGAGGCATGAAAGTTGCTATTGCTCATACATAATGTTTATAGGCTAATATCTGTTTAAAAACTATTAATATATTCTGAATGCCAATTTTTTTTTGTCCTGTTGATAACATAGCTTTCTTCTATAATGCATTTTGCAAGAAATTTAAGTCACAGTTTTTGGCAGTTGAAGTGTGCATATAATGGCAGAAGTTATGAGTTGAGCAACTGTCTCAGTTTAGATTTCCCAAATAAAAAGTTTCCAGGGCTATAATATTTGAAAAACTTAACTTTGTGCCTGTGTCTCCCTAGAAGACAAGCGTTTATTTGTATGTGAATGGTCTTTTGAGACTACGTGAAGCTATAAAATTCCTGCTTGACATTTTAAATTCTTCAAAAAGAAGGAAATAATTCCTGCAGCAATTATTCCCTTCCTGGAAAGCTTCAATCATCAAAGTTACTGCTACTTTGGGGAAGTCTTCTACCCACAGCCTGAAGAAAATGAGCATAGCCCTTAGATAAGTTATCACCTATCCTGAAGATGTGCTGTATTGAATGGAAATGAATGTAAATAAAATTTAATTATCTCATTTAACTGTTATTTTTATTTTGTGGGGCTTGTTTTTTTAACCCAAAATTATTTAAGTAAAATCTTAATACAGAGGAATGAACACTAAACACTGCTGTTTATTAACTCCATTCCTCAGTGGCCTGTTATTTTCTCCTGGTGGTTACTACCTATCAGGGGAAAAAACTTTTCCTAAAGAAAACATCACAACCCCCCCCCCAAAAAAGTCTCTCCCAATCATCACTACTAGATTTAAAGGGGAGCCCTGGTGGTGCAGTACTTAAAGAGCTCAGCTGCTAACCAAAAGGTCAGTAGTACAAATCCACCAACTGCTCTTTGGAAACCCTATGGGGCAGTTCTTCTCTGTCCTGTGGGTCACTATAAGTTGAATTAGACTTGATGGCAATGGGTTTTAGATTTAAAGGAAATATAAACGACTGTTCTCTACCTGCATATTGTACTACATGCAAAGAAGTCTCCTATGATGATATAGTAGGTAAGTGTATTTTGATATACAGGCAGTCCCTGGGTTATGAATGTCTTAACTTACATACAACCTGTACTTACGAGTATCATGGCAGGGGAGCCCTGGTGGCCCTGTGGTTAAGAGCTCAGGCTGCTAACCAAAAGGCTGGCAGTCTGAATCCACCATCTGCTCCTTGAAAACCCTATGGGGGCAGTTCTGCTCTGTCCTATAGGGTCACTATGAGTTGGAATCAACTTGATGGCAACGAGTTTTTGGTTTAGAGGTCAGAGTCCAAAATGAATTGGCAAGGTTATGTTCCTTCTGGAGGCTCTAGGGGAGAATCCATTTCCTTGCCTTTTCCACCTTCTAGAGGCTGCTCGCATTCCTTGGTTCATGGTCCCCTATAAGCTGGACCTGTGCTTCTGTGGTCACATCTCCTCCTCTGACTCTGATCCTCCTGCTTCCCTCTTCTAAGGACCATTTTGAGTACACTGGGCCCTACTGGATAATCCAGGATAATCTCCCCATCTCAAGATTCTTAATCTTATCTGCAAAGTTCCTTTTGCCATGTAGGGTAACATTCACAGGTTTTTGGGACTGGGATGTGGGGGTGGGAGGGGCAGCACCCTGGGTGGTGCAAAGAGTTAACGCACCAAAAGTTCAAGTCCACCCAGAGGCACTTCAGAATCCTGGCGAAGTAATTCCAAGAAAGCAGCCATTGAAAACTTTACGGAGCAAAAGTTTTATTCTGACACACATAGGGTCGCCATGAGTTGGAATCAACTCGACAGTGGCTGGTTTTTGGATTCTGCCTACCACACCTAGTCTCTTTAAGTATAGATATCTCATTATAAAGTCACCCCCAATGTCAGGGGGAAAAAAAAAAAACTATAAAGAGCATATCTTAATGTTAGGAAGAAACTAAAGGAAGACTGGTGAAAGCTACCCTATACCTATCCAGGTAAAAGAAAGGAGGTTTATCCTCTGGAAATAGTAAGAGGGTCTCTGGAACGGGGGACACAGGCAGAGTTGAGGGAGGGGCACTATATTAGAACTGAGTGAATATATACAGACTGAATGCTTCTCCTCACCCAGCCTCTACCACTAGGCTTCCAGAGACTGACAGGCAGACCTTTATCCTCCTGGAAGAATGGAAGACTCTTCTCTGACAAAGCTGAACAGCCTAAGAGAAAACACCTGTGATGCTGGAAATTCTCTGAATTTCTACCTTTTTTTATCTTTTGCTCTTAAATCTGAGCAGAATACTGAAAACCTCTTAACATGACGGGCCAAAATAGAAATGGGAAAAAAGGAACTTGGAAACAAAGATTATAAAACATACCCTGAGATAAGACAAACTGCAACCATGAAATAAGGATAGAATCTAGAAAAATAAAACATTCTGATGAAAAAAAGCCTAGAGAAGTTGAAAAGATAATGAAAATTTATTACAAGGGGTGGAAGATACAGCTGAGAAAATCTAGGAAGTAAAGTAAAATGGCAAACGAAAATAAGGGGAAAGAAAATTTGAGCACTAGTGTGGCAGGTCCAACACCCAAATAAACAGTTCCGAGAAGGGTCAGAAAGGGGAGAAAAATCAGTGAAATTTTCAAGAAAACCTCCCAGAAAGGGGACATTGTTGACACATCACAGAGTTGGCAACCAATGTCACAAAACCTGTGTATTGTTTAATAAACTAATCTGCTCTCCAAACTTTCAACTAAAGCACAATAAAAATAAATACAACCTGAATTCTAAAAACAAACCTCCCAAAACTCAAGGACACGGAAGTTTCCATACTGAAAGGGTCCGCTGGGTACCAAGTACAAGGGACAACAAATGACCCACACAAAGTACACTATCATGATATTTCAGAATACTGAGAACCAGATTTTGAGTTTCAACAAGAAAAAAGTGGGTCACAAAGATTATGAATCAGAATGGCTTGGTCGTTCCTTCATCAATAAGAGAAGTCAGAAGACCAGAAGCAATGCCTTTCGAACATGTGAAATAAAATATCCTGTTCTAATTCTATACCCAGCCAAACAATGTTTGAGTAGTTGTTGTTAGGTGCCATCAAGCTGGTTTCAACTCAGTGACCCCATGCACAAGAGAACAAAACTGCCCAGTCCTGTGCCATCCTCAAAATTCTTGAGAGTAGGATGATGACATTTTCAGACATATAAACCCTAAGAACATTTACCTCCCTTACATTTTTCTCAGAAAGATCCTAAAGATGAGCTACACAAAACAAGAGTAACCCAAGGAAGAGGAACATGGAATAAACAGGTTATCCAAAACAGTAAAGCAGTGAAATGAGTCACACCCAAGAGAGAACTCAGAGTGAAGACGTGCACTAGGCCTATAGGGTAACTAGCAGACATTAGAGCCAGACAAAAAGCTCCAGAAGAGACTTCTGAAAGATGACATTAATAACCTACCTGATGTGAATGATTTTTATGAAAGGATATTTTGACAACTGATAGTTTGTGGCTGCATTTGTGAATATTTAGCAACTAAGCAAATGAAAGATCAAGACAGTAGCTAGCTCCAAGGAAAACAAAAAGTCATACAGAAAACAAAACTTCAGTTGTTCTCAAACTTTAATGTACACAGAACCACCCAGGGATGCTGTGATATGCATTCTGGTTCCAGGCAGGGGCCAAAGATTCTGCATTTCTCGTAAGCTGTCAGGCGAGGCCAATGCTGCTGGACCCCCAATTATACTTTTAAGTAGCAAAGGTATCACATGGCTTAGCTATGAATAAATACACGGTAATAATCTGAACTCTGAATAGTGATCAATATTATGAAATATAGGATGGGAAGATGGGAAGCATACATGCATGTGGTATGTGAGAAGGAAGAAAAATTAAATCCTCATCTTCCACAGAGGGGGAAGTTAATGCCTAAAACTGAAACAAACTCTCTTAAAACTAGACAACTCTTAAATTGCATAGTCTTTAAAAAGTGGGCAAAGGACATGAACACAGTTCACTGAAACAAATACAAGGTATTTCAACATAAGATTAAATGCTCAAACTTGATCTTTACAGATGATTCCATTTTCCACTTATCGATGAGCAAATAAGGTCAATAATGCACTGACTGCAATGTGTGGAAAAACCAATATTGTTACAGCTACGGTTTTAAAACCTCTTCTTACAATCCTTATTACCCCATAACGAAAACAATTTTAGATTCATCTGTGGCAAACTTTTTAAGCCTGCTGCCCCAGTATCCATTCTCAACTGCTTTCTTCCTTGGCCACCTCTACTATCAGGGCTAAAAAAGCTATGTATTCACTGTTCCAGTCTCCCTTGCAACTAGAGGTGAACATGTGCCACAGTTCTTGACGACAAGTAGAAGTCTGCTGGGAGGGATTTTGAGAAATCCTTTGCTTTACTTTTAAAGGGGGACAAAGTTGGCACTGTCAGCCCTCGTACAAACTTGAGGCAACAATCGTAATGATGTCAGAAACATGCCCACAGATGGTGGAAAGATACAAAGAGGGTATCACTGAGCAGCTAAACCAACACCTGTAAAAACCTACCTTTGGGATTCCTGTTATGTGAAAAAAATAAACTCCTGCTAAAGTTCCTCAGCGTTTTGGTACACAACAAAACACATCCTTAAGTGATTTATTTTCCCAATGAGGACTGCTCAGAATTGTTTTGCACACCTCCCCCGCTCAATATTTACTTATAAGCTATATAAACTGCTGTCCTATTATGTCCACTATAAAACACGTAACATAGAAATGGTTAAATGGTGACAAAAAAATATGAATAGAAATGCTAATGTTTCTTCCTGCACACCAATGGATCATGTTCATATAGCTTGGGGTGTGCAGCCCCATTTTAAAGCTATGCAATTTTGGGTTCGCTTATTTTAGAGTCAGTTGGGATTGTTTGATTTGCAAGCAATGAAAACTTGAAAAAGGGATTTACTGGAAAGATATAAGGTAGCTCAGAAAATTCAAGGAAGAGCTAAACAACCAGCCATCTGGAAGAAAGAAAATCAGGACAGCTCAAAGTTGGAGCTCATTAGATGTCTTAGCTCCCAGCACCATCTATACTTTTGTTTCTACTCCAGATTCAAATTCCTAAGAAATAAACCATTGCTAGGTTGGGTCAGTTTGTGGTCCTGTAATTAATAGCCCTTTCAGAAGCACAAGGAGTAGCAAAGGCTGTTGTTCCCTAAAAGAGGGGCTCAACAGACAAAAACATATGGCCATACACAAATTCTCTTAAATTTTACATAAAATCATCACCACTTTCAGAGATAGGACTTTGGAAGAAAGTCAGAAGCACCATTCCAATTTAGCCTCTTGAAATAAGTGTACCTCAAAGTGCTAAAGCACAGGTAAATTTTAGAACACCAATGAAAATAATGTTCTTAAACCTGCAAAACAAGCGTTTCTTTCTAAAGCTTAAAAGTCCAAGGCTTTCCATATGTTAAAAAAACTAGCAACTGCAACAATTTGATTACAATTAACAGATTAAAAGAATGTAATGTAGACTGGCTGTTCATAGATCCCAAAGATGATTTAACTATTTTCTTTTAGTTTTAGGTTTACACTGTCTAAGCTTCCACTACCGATTTTATTCACTTTAATTACTTCTTCTGTTGGCATTAATCTGTTCATAAACAAAAACTACTGAGGTCAGTTTCAAATTTTATTTCATTAACTTAAAAAGATGGACCAATTATATATTTCAAATGTTATTACATTTATCTCAAACACAAGTTTACATAGAGGATAAACAGATATAGGATTTCAAGTAACTTATGGTACAGTCCACTGTCTAAAAAATATGCTTCTTTCATCCATGACAAGCACTGAAAGGCAATTTTTTTCTTTTATACTGCATAAAAGCTAGATGCAACACTTTTGATGTAAATTTATTTCATGTCAATTCAGATGCTGAAGCTGGGAGGCACAAAAGTTCACAGTTAAAAATGCAAATAAAAAGGTTCTTCTGTTTCTCTCAGATACAAAATGGAGGCCTCCATTCACGTCTCTTACAGGAGTACCACATACTTGATTCTTACACCAGGTCACTTCTTCTTCTTCCCTTTTCCTTTTTTACTTCCCTCTCCTTGCTGAAGACTCTGGTCACCACCTCCTGTTTTTTGTGTCCTTGTTTTTAGTTTAGGTATCATTTCTGCTGCATACAACATTACTGACTTACCTGGGAACCAGAGATTAGACTTAGTACATGAGAAATAAGACATAAAAGGTCATTGACTTGAACATCATGAAGTCCAGAAAACCATCACCATATTAAGAAAACGGGAAGGAATTAAACCAAAAAAATCAAATGACTATGAAGACAGTGACTTGTTCAAGTGAGAGCCTCTGCTGGAGAAAAAGAAGTACTGAGATTGAGAACAATGCTGAAAATATCTAAATGAACAAAATCAAAATTTCAAACACTAAGTTTGAAACAAAATTTTGGTCTTGGTCCTAACATATCTAAAAATAATGAACTGGAAACAAAGAGTCAGAATACAGTTGTATCTTTAAGCTACAGAAACACATGGTTGTTGAAAGTCTTAAATAACAGAAATTAAGTGTTATTAAGCTATACTAGATCTCACCGATATGCTTAGATGATCCACCCGTACATGCACTCCTGCTGTGTACCTACCAGCTCCAGTAGTCACCTTCCTCATTCTAACACACCAAGTCCCTCAGCTTTCCTCTCTTTTTATTATCTTACATCTTCTTCCTGGAAACTGGATGTACCATTTGTCCAACCTCAATTTTTACCTGTATTTTATTTACTGGTCAAATCAAGTTTTTTCCTCTATCTTTTGAAAGACAGTATAACAAGTAAGAAGATTGAGTCAGTAGTCAAAAACCTCCCAACAAAGAAACGTCCAGGACCAGATGGCTTCTCAGATGAATTCTACCAAACATTTACATATATATATATTCTTTTTTTTCAGTTGCTACTGAGTTGATTCCAACTCATGGAGACCCCACGTGTTTTAGCGTATAACTATACTCCACAGAGTTTTCGATGGCCGTGACCTTTCAGAGGTAGACTGCCAGGACTTTCTTCCGAGGTGCCTCTGGGTGGATTTGAACCACCAATCTTTTGGTTAGTAGCCAAGAGCTTAACTGTTTGCACCACCAGGGACTCCATTCTACCGAACATTTAAAGAAGAATTAACACCAATCCTTCGCAACCTCGTCCAAAAAATAGAAAAGGAACACTTCCTAACTCATTTTATGCAACCAGCATCACCCTGATATCAAAGACAGAAGAATATTACCAACCAATATCCCTTATGAATATAATGCAAAAATTTCAACACTAGCAAAACTATTCTAACAGCATATTAAAAGGGTCATATTATGACCAAATGTGATCTTTTCCAAGAATGGATGGGTAATTCAACATAAGAAAATCAATCAATGCAACACAACACATTAATAGGACAAGAGGGAAAAAAAAAAGACAATCACCTCAACTGATACAGAAACGGCAGTTGTCAAAATCCACACCCATTCATGATAAAAATATCCAGCAAACTACAAACAGATGGGAATTTCCTACACATCATCAAGGGCATTCATGAAAAACCCACAGCTAACAACATACTCTATGGTAAAAGACTGAAAGCTTTCCCCCAAAGATCAGAAAAAAGACAGGGATGCTACTTTCACCACTTCTACTCAACATTGTACCATAAACTCTAGCCAGAGGAATTAGGCAAGAAAAATAAATAGAATCTGAATAGAAAATGAAGAAGGAAAATTATCTCTGTTCAGGGAGGACACGCTCTTATATGTAGAGAACCCTAAAGGATACACTAAAAATACTGTTAGAGCGAATAAATGAATTCAACAAATATGCAGGGTACAAGATCAACATACAAACTTCAGCTGTATTTCTATGCACTAGTAATGAACAATCTGAAAAAGAAATTAAGAAAACAATTCCATTTACAGTAGCATAAAAATAAAATATTTAAAAATAAATTCAATCAAGGAGGTAAAAAATATTTATACACTGAAAACTATAAAACATCGCTAAAAGACCTGAGTAAATAGAAAGACATTCTTTGTTCATGGACTGGAGGACTTAATGTTGTTAAGATGATGATTAATACTCAAATTAATCTACAGATTCAATGCAATTTCCATCACAATCCCATCATTTTTTGCAGAAATGGGAAAAAAAATCTTAAAATTTCTATGGAATTTCAAGGGACTCCAGATAGTCAAAACAATCTTGGAAAGAACAAAGTTAGAGCACTCGTATTTGCCAATTTCAAAACTTACTACAAAGCTACAGTAATCAAAACAGTGCTGTACTGGCATAAGAACAGACAAGTAGACCAATGGAATAGAATTAAGGGCCCAGAAATAAACTCTCACAATTGTGGTCAACTGATTTCAACAAGGGTGTTAAGTCTATTCAGTGGGAAAAGAAGAGTCTCTTCAACAAATGGTGTGGGGAAAACTGGATATCCACATGCAAAAGAACAAAGTTTAACCTTTCCTTATACCACATACAAAAATTAACTCAAAATGGTTTCAAGACCTACATTTAAGAGCTGAAACTATAAAACTCTTCGAAGAAAACATAGAGGGAAATCTACACAACACTGGACTTGGCAATGCTTTTCTAAATATGACGCAAACGGACAACAAAAGAAAAAATTAGATGAACTGGACTTCCTCAAAATTAAAAACTTTTGTGCAGCAAAGGACACTATCAAGAAAGTGAAAAGATAACCCAGAGGATGGAAGAAAATATCTGTAAATCATGTATCTGATAAGGGATTTGTACCTAGAATACATAAAGAACTACTAAAATTCAAAAATAAAAACAATCTATTTAAAAATGAGCTAAGTATCTGAATAGACATTTCTCCAAAGATGACATATGAATGGCAATGAGCACATGAAAAGATGCTCATCATCATTAGGGAAATGCAAATCAAAACCACAATGAGACAGCATTTCACACATTCTGTGATGGCTATTAAAAAACAAACCAACAAAAATCCAGAAAATAACAAGTGTTAGTAAGGATGTGGAGAAACTGGAAACCTCATGCACTGCTAGTAGGAATGTATAACGGTGCAGTCACTGTGCAAAGTTTGGCGGTTCTTCAAAAAGTTAAATGTAGAATTACCATATGACACAATAATTCTAATCCTAGGCATATACCCAAAAGAACTGACAAAAGAGAGTCAAACAGGTAACTGTATGTCAATGTTCATAGCAGCATTATTTATACTAGCCATAAGGTGGAGACAACACAAGTGTCCATGAACAAATGAATGGATACACAAAATATGATTTATATATACAATGGAGTATTATTCAGCCATAAAAATGAAATTCTGATACACGCTACAATAGAGATGAACCTTGATAACACCATGCTTAGTGAAATAAGCCAAACACAAAAAGATAAATATTATGATTCTATTTATATAAAAATCTAGAATAGGTAAATTAATAAGAGACAAAAGTAGATCAGAGGTTACCAGGGGCTGGAGGGAGGGAGAAATGGGGATTTACCGCTTACTAGGCACAGAGCTTCTCTTTAGGGTAATGAAAAAGTTCTGGAAATAGTGGTGATGATTACACAATACTGTGAATGCACTTAATGCCACTAAATGTTCACTTAAAAATGGAATATTTTTTATGTTATGCATATCTTACAATTTAAAAAAAAAAAATATATGAAGGAGAAAGAACACATCAGAACATAGTATCTACTGCCTCCTAAGTTAGACTCTAAGTTTCCAGTAATGCCTGCCTGCCAATCCTGACAGATTTTAGTATACAAAAACCAAGCTATTTTAATTCAACTAAAAACACTTGAATTGTCAGTTTGGGGTTATTGTGTTAAGAAAAAAATTACAAATTAAATGAATACATCATTTTTTTTTTCATTGTTGTAGTTTAAGGTGAAAGTTTACACTTCAAGTTAGCCTCCTGTACAAAAATTTATACACTGTTATGTGACCCTAACTGCTCTCCCTATACTGTGACAGCACACTCCTCCTTTCCACCCAATTTCCCACATCCATTCAACCAGCTCCTAACCCTCTCTGCCTTCTCATCTCACCTCCAGACAGAAGCTGCCCATTTAGTCTCATGTATCTACTTGAGCTAAGAAGCACACTCTTCATGAGTATCATTTTATTTCCCATAGTCCAGTCCAATCTTTGTCTGAAGAGTTCGCCTCGGAAATTGTTTTAGTTCTGGGCTGAGAATCCGGGGGCCATGCTTTCTGGGGTTCCTCCAGTCTCAGTCAGACCATTAAGTCTGGTCTTTTTACTAGAATTTGAGTTCTGCACCCTATCTTTCTCCTGTTCTGTCAGGGACTCTTTGTTGTGTTCCCTGTCAGGGCGGTTACTGGTGGTAGCTGGGCACCATCTAGTTCTTCTAGTCTCAGGCTGATGCAGTCTCTGGTTTACGTGGCCCTTTCTGTCTCTTGGGCTAATACTTGCTTTGTGTCTTTCGTGTTCTTCATTCTCCTTTACTCCGGGTGGTTGGGACCAATTGATGCATCTTAGATGGCCACTCGGCAGCTTTTAAGACCCCAGACGCCACTCACCAAAGTAAGATGCAGAACATTTTAATAAACTATGTTATGCCAATTGACCTAGATGTCCCCTGAAACCACGGTCCCCAGACTCTTACCCCTGCTACTCTGTCCCTCGAAGTGTTTGATCATATTGAGGAAACTTCTTAGCTTTGGTTTAGTCCAGTTGTGCTGACTTCCCCTGTAGCGCGTGCTGTCCTTCCCTTCACCTAAGATGATTCCTGTCTACTATCTAGTTAGTGAAGTCCCCTCTCCCTCCCTCTCCACCCTCATAACCATCAAAGAATGTTTTCTTCTGTGTTTAAACCTTTTCTTGAGTTCTTATATTAGTGGTCTCATACAATATTTGTCCTTCTGTGCCTGACTAAATTCACTCAGCATAATGCCCTCCATATTTGTTCATGTTATGTTACACAGATTCATCGTTCTTTATCGTTGCATAGTTGAATACATCAATTTTTAATTAAAATTTTTAGAAATAAAATACTTAGATAAGTAAAGAATAACATGTAAAGAAACACTTATATTCCCAGTACTCAAAAGCAACATTTTGGAATATTGATGTCCAGTTATTTTTTTTAAGAAATAAAACACTAGAGATTAAGCTACAGTCTGCTTATCATCACCCTTCATGCTCTACCTCCTGCTCATCAGGTTAACTACAGGTAGTCCCTGACTTACAACGTATTCAAGTTACAACGAACTGCACTTATGACTGTCTTTTCTTTGGTACAACTTATCGTTAGTAATACACACTACATACGATGTTGGAGCACATAATTTGCTGATGTTATCATTCTCAGATGTTCATGCACAGATGTTCAAAGATTGGATTTATAAAGATACTCATAATAAAAGGCAATAATAATGAAAACTAAAAAAAAAAAAAAAAAAGAGGTATTCGATTTATGTCACTTATGTCAGAACTGACTCATGATGGTGTCATCAGAACAGAACCCTGTCATAAGTTGGGAACTTACCTGTACTATCTTAAGATTGGGTGTATCCTTCCAGTCCATTTCAAAAATATATACATACATATATCAACAAATAATAGTAGTATTTTATATTTAAACTTACCTAAGTGGTATCAGACCATACATTTCCCTTGCTTTTTTCACTCAGTATTGCTTTTTAGATTAAGGATAGAAATTATTAACAGATTTCAAGGGTCTCCAGTATCTGAAAAGGTAATTAACATCTAACCATTTAATGATTTATTTTATACTCTTAACTTGGGAGCAATAGATGGACTTCTAGAGATTTATAAAATGTTCACAAAATGATTTTTTTGAGAAAGGGTTAACAGGTTTCAACACATTCACAAAGAGTTTCTTCACCTAAAAGAAGTTAGAACCATTGTTTACCACTCTTCACCTAACAGTAGCAAAATGTGTAAAATACAAATTACGATTTGTACATTTTAAAAGGTCAGTTTTGAAACCTATTTTTGTATTACAGAGGAATAACCTGTCCCAGAACTCCATTTATTTAAAAGCGCTTACGTGATGGAAACTGTATAAGACAGAAGCTGCCATCTTCCTGTTTGAGCTGGACCCGGACTCTGCCCCTGTACTGAACATCACGATTCCATTCTCTAGAGTACAATTTATTTTTCTAACATAAAAAACAAAAACAAAAACAGGCTTTAAGAAAGTATTACATCAATGAGATTACTGTGGAAAACAGTGAAGAAAGAACCACATAATACCTCAAGAAACGCATTAAGTCCAACTGCTAAGCATACATCTTGAATTTCTGTAGCTGTAGGATTTTCAACAGCCTGAAACAGTTAAAAACAAAAACACTGAACAGCTTAGCCTGAGGAGGATTACTGCTATACTGCTGCGTAGATTCTTTCAAATACTATGGTCAAAGCACATACCAAAACCCTAGGTTTATTTATTTATTTTTTTTACCAGATACAGTTGTTTCAACCTTAAATTTTAAAAATTCCTGAGAATAATATTGATTCATACTTGTGTGCCCGTCTCTCTTCTAATAAAATGTAAACTTCACCAGGGAAAGAATTTTGTTTTTTTTCACCAGCACTTCACATGCTGCTCAATGAATGCTGATTAAACAGCTATTACAGATACAACCACTTTAGAAAACTGGCAGTATCTACTGAAGCAGAACATATGCATTCCCTATAATTCTGCAATTCCACTTCTAGGTATATATCCAACAGAAATGCAAAAGTACATTCACCAAAAGATAAGTTCAAGAATGTTCACGACAGTACTATTCAGATTAGCCCCAAACTAGAAACAACCCAATTGTCCATCAGCAATAGAATGGACTGTGATATATTCACACTATGTAATAGTATAGAGCAGGGGTTTTCAACTGGGCAATTTTGCCTCCCAAGGGACATTTGGGAATATTTGGAGGACATTTTTGATTCCCACGAGTGTGAGTGTGTGTGTGTGAGTGTGTGTGAGTGTGTGTGTGTGAGTGTGTGTGTGTGTGTGAGTGTGTGTGTGTGAGTGTGTGTGTGTGAGTGTGTGTGTGAGTGTGTGTGTGTGAGTGTGTGTGAGTGTGTGTGTGTGAGTGTGTGTGTGTGTGTGTGTGTGTGTGTGTGTGTGTGTGTACTGGCATCTAGTGGGTAGAGGCCAGAGATGCTGCTAAACATCCTAAAATGCACAGGACAGTCCCCCACAACGAAGAATTATGCAGCCCAAAATGTTAATAGTGCTGTTGTTCAGAAACCCTGCTATGAGGAATAAGAATTAACAAGCTACACTTAAAAATGAGAATAAATCTCAGAAGCATAAAGTTCAGTGAAACAAGCCAGATACCAGAGTACACAATGTATAATTCCATTTATAGAGTTAAAAAATATGTAATGTATGGTGTCAGAATTCAGAACAGTGGTTATCCTTGTATGTGTGAGTATACAAGGGGACAGTGACTAGGAGGGGACATGAAGGAATCTTCTGGGGTGCTGGTAATGCTTTTTTTAAAATTTGGGTGCTGGTTACCCAGGTGTGCTCATTTAGTGAACATTAATCAAGCTATATACTTATGATTCATATATATTTCTGTATGTAGGCTATCCAACAATAAAGTTTATTAAAAAATCAATCAACCAATCCATGCTTGGCTTTACTCCTTCCTACAATTTCAATCATGCTCCAAACTATCTGAGGGCTTGCTACCAGAGGCCTCTGTCACAGTGGCTTGATGTCACAAATCATTCTCTTTTTTTTATTGTACTTTAGAAGAAAGTTTACAGAGCAAACTAGTTTCTCATTAAACAATTAATACACATATTGTTTTGTGACACTGGTTGCCAACCCCACAACAAATCAACACTCTCCCCTTCTCAACTTGGGTTCCCCATTACCAGCTTTCCTGTCCCCTCCTGCCTTCTGGTCATTGCCCCGGGCTAGTGTGCCCATTTAGTCTCGTTTTGTTTTATGGGCCTGTCTAATCTTTGGCTGAAGTGTGAACCTCAGGAGTCACTTCATTACTGAGCTAAAAAGGGTGCCTGGAGGCCATACTCTTGGGGTTTCTCCAGTCTCTGTCTGACGAGTAAGTCTGATTTCTTTTTTGGTGAGTTAGAATTTTGTTCTACATTTTTCTCCAGCTCTGTCTGGGGCTCTCTATTGTGATACCTGTCACAGCAGTCGGTGGTGGTAGCTGGGCACCATCTAGTTGTGCTGGACTCACTCTGGTGGAGGCTGTGGTAGTTGTGGTCCATTAGTCTTTTGGACTAATCTTTCCCTTGTGTCTTTAGTATTCTTCATTATCCCTTGCTCCAGACAGGGTTAGACCAGTAGAGTATCTTAGATGGCCATTCACAAGCTTTAAGACCCCAGACGCTACTCACCAAAATACACTGTACAAAATCTTCTTTATAAACTATGTTATGCCAATTGAGCTAGATGTTCCCCGAGACCATGGTCCCCACAGGCATTTTTCTTAACAAGTACTTTGGCATCTTCTCTCTTACCCTGAGGCAGCAAAGTAGACTTTCTTTCACATATATTTAGGCAACAAAATGGAAGCTATTAAATAACACAAAAATAACTATTCATTGCTTTAGACCAAGTTACCTCAAATCTCTCACTGTGATTATAAAATGTATATGATTCTTTACAAAGTAGAATATGACATCAATTTTGAAAATAAAAGCTTCTACAAAGATCGTTTACTTGGCATTAGGCACTTGCCAAACTTTAACCACTAGGCAACACAGAATTTGGGTTTTCCTACCCAAAGAGCACAAGAGAGAAATCATATTCTTTTTAAACATCCTACTTTAGTAAAATATTAATTTTAAACTAACTTCCTTAAAAAATAAATAAAAATAACATAGAACTCAACAAAGCTGACCTTTCTTCCAATCTTTGTATTTTTCCAAACTCAACTCATTTTGGACATTATACTGTACAGCACCAGGATTTTAATTTCCTTTATTAAGCCAAAGATTATCATAACCTATGATTAAAAAAAAAAAAAAAAAAGTGCAAGCCCTACAGACTCCCACTTACTTCTTTAGAAACACAGGCTCATGAAGAACCCCTTTAAAAATCTTTTTATAGCTATAGATTAACGCCTTTCTGACTTCACTAATATTAAGGAAAGCTCCCCAATTCTTACCTGATGTTCCGCTCAGATCCTAAAGAAATATAATAAGCTAAAAGAAACTCTTGTGGCTCTAAGAGGACACCTCTCCCAACCCTAAAGGGCAGAGATGCCAGTCACCTCCTCACCTTATTTATGGGGATGCGCCTCCCCTCCGCGATGGTCTTCTTGTTATTTAAATAAGCAGGGTAGATACAAATGAACCTAACATAGAAAAGGCACAGCTGTTATCACCAGAACAGTATTTCCTCAAACTCAGTCATTATCGTCACCATCACGATTGCCAGTACACCTATACTATTACCTACTTAATTTTTTTTCCCTTTGAATTCTCTTTTACTTAAGTTACTTAAAAAGAACCCTTTATTTCTTAGGTGAAGAAACCAACATCACTTGCTAGAGAAGATAACCGCTAAACACACACACACACGTACAATAAAAACAAAGCAATGCTATAACTATTCAGTTAGATACAGCTGCCTGTTCCTGAGGCTGGGACTCACCGTCTTACGTAAAAAACAGTGGTGTTCTAGACATTAAAGAACCCAAACTTCTCGGGATTGGAACAAGCTCCCCGGGAGAGGCGCAGGGCCTGCGGCCAGGGCCGAGCTCCACCGGCGAGGCCGTTCTCAAAAAGGGGCGGCGCAGCCCCGGGGGCTCGCAGCACGCCCCTTTCTTCCTCAGAACCCACCTACCTCCCCGGGACCCACCTGTCCTGGTCGGCAGGGGACCGCGCAGCGGCGCAAGCCATCTCCACCCGGGGCCGCAGAGAGCCAGCTCGGAATTCGTAAAAAAAAAACCGGCCGGACCTCGGTGCGGAGAGACAGCCGAGACCGCCCCCTCCTCCGGCGGAAGTCCTGCCTTCTGAAACACCTACGCGTCCACCGCTTTTTACGGTTCGTTTGTTCCGGCACCTATCGCTCGGAGCCAGGGTCTGTAGTCTCTGATGTGGCGTTTAGAGAGGATCCCGCGAGAGGACGCGCAAGCTTCTGATTGCTTCCCTTCTCAGATCCCGCCCACAAGGGGGTCTTAGGCGCACGCGCTGTCGCTAAAACTGGGTTAATTTTTCACGTTCTTTCTTGCCCGTTTTCACGCCGATATTGGTTAGTGGTACGTGCCCTGCCGTCAGGCAAGAGCTTTGCGTTGCGGAGAAGCTCAGCACTTCCGAGCGGAAATGCAGGTGTTAGAGCAGGAAAGGAAATGACATATACGTGTAACTTTTACTCATTAGGGCTCTGCAGATTGCTTTCAGTTGTCAAAAATGGTATTTATAATGATGGAACTAACAAATTTACTGGTACCGTGTTTTAGTGTGCCGTATAAATGTTCGAAATTTGACCTCGGAAGAAAGTTTTGGCCTTGGGAGGACACTTACCTTAGAATTCACTATTTTCTGTATACTCTAAGTTGATTGCAAAGCACTCTTTACATATTTCCGTTCTTCAGCTAAATACACTTCCACTATCGTTTTAATTGTGGCCGTTTAGTCTACAAATGTCCCAGATACCGCAACAATGAATAAAACAGGCAAGGTAAAATAGATTTTAATTTTCTATTATATAAGGAAAAATAAACCTCCCAAAAGTCTGAGTGTCAGTGAGGTTAGGTAAGTCCCTCAGTCACGCTAATGACTGCTGAGCATAGATGCTAAAGGAGGTCTGACGGGGAGTGTCTGACTTTTACCCATCCCCTGGCTTACTGCCTCTCAAGTTTCCTTGCAGTTTCTTAGTGCTGGATTAAGTTAGGTGTTGATGCAAATAAATAAATCTTACCATTTCTAAAGTGTACCTGATTCTTGTAAAAAGTTTCACATGATGCACTCCCCCCCAAAAAAAAGTAGATTTAAGGATGAAATGTATTCAGCCTTTAAAATACATAGTTTATCTGTTTTATGCTTTCGCATTTTCATTGCATTATGAATATCCAAACCTTTCTTTTAAGAAAATCAACATTTTATGCACATACATGAAAAGATCGGAAAATGAACCAGATAATCTGAAGCTAAATACATGCAGTAGATGGTCAGAGAAAAAGAAGACGACCCTCAATGAGACTGACTGACATAGTGGCTGCAACAAAGGGCTCATACATAGCAACGATCGTGAGAATTGTGCAGGACCCAGCAGCGTTTCGTTCCATTATACAACAGGGTCGCTATGGGTCGGAACTGACTTAGCAGCACCTAAAAACAACAAAAGTCTACTTTCCATGGAGTTGTTTTCTTAGAACCGAGTACGTGGGTAACTAGAGACAAAACGGCCAGTGTTAAAATTGGTGGTTATTCCCTGGTTCACACACATTAAAGGAATGAATGATAGAACTAATTATTTTTGAGTACCATCCTATGCTAGACCTATAAATTATTTACCCCATGCTATTGTCAAAATCCCCATGCATCTGTCAGTTTGTCATACTGTGTGGCTTGCATGTTGCTGTTTTGCTGGAAGCTGTGCCACCAGTATTTCAAATACTAGCAAGGTCACCCATGGTGGACAGGTTTCAGTGGAGCTTCCAGACTAAGACAGACTAGGAAGAAAGACCTGGGAGTCTAGTTCTGAAAAAAATTGGCCAATGAAAACTTTATGAATACCAGCAAAATATTGTCTGGTATAGTGCTGGAAGATGAGCCCCTCAGCCTGGAAGGCACTCAAAATGCTACTGGAGAAGAGCTGCCTCCCCAAAGTAAAGTCAACCTTAATGATGTGGATGGAGTCAAGCTTTCAGGACATTCATTTGCTGAGGTGACACAACTCAAAATGAGAAGAAACAGCGGCAAACACTCATTAATAATCAAACATAAAATGGATAAAGTATGCAGTCTAGGAAAATTGGATGTCATCAAAAATGAAATGTACCACATAACGATCAATGTCCTAGGCATTAGTAAGCTGAAATGGACTGGTATTGGCCATTTTGAATTAAATGATCATATTTTACTATGATGGGAATGACAAATTCAAGAGGAATGGCGTCACATTCATCCTCAAAAAGAACACCTTAAGATGTATCCTGAAGTACAATGCTGTCAGTGATAGGATAATATCCATACGCCTACAAGGAAGACCAGTTAATACGACTATTAGTCAAATTTATGCACCAACTACTAAGGCCAAAGATGAGGAAACTGAAGATTTTTACCAAATTCTGCAGTCTGAAATTTATCAAACATGCAATCAAGATGCTTTGATAATTACTAGTGATTGGAATGTGAAAGTTGGAGACAAAGAAGAAGGCTTGGTAGTTGGAAAATATGGCCTTGGTGATAGAAATGATGCCAGAGATCGCATGATAGAATTTTGCAAGACCAGCGACTTCTTCATGGTAAATACCTTTTTTCAACATAAATGGCATCTATACATGTGGACCTCACCAGATGGAATACACAGGAATCAAATCAACTACATCTATGGAAAGAGACAATGGAGAAGTTCAATATCATCAGTCAGAAAAAGGCCAGGGGCTGACTGCAGAGCAAATCATCAGTTGTTCATAGGCAAATTCAAGCTGAAGCTGAAGAAAACTAGAGCAAGGCCATGAGAGGCAAAATACGATCTTGACTATATCCCACCTGAATTTAGAGACCATCTCAAGAATGGATTTAATGAATTGAACCCTAATGGATTTAATGCATTGAAGACCAGACGAGTTTGTGGAATGACATCAAGGACATCATACATGAAGAAATCAAAAGGTCATTTAAAAGACAGGGGGAAAAAAAGGATGTCAGAAGGGACTCTGAAAGTTGCTCTTGAACATAGAGTAGCTAAAGCAAAAGGAGGAAATGATGAAGTAAAAGACCTGAACATAAGATTTCCAAGGGCGGCTCAAGAAAACAAAGTAAAGTAGTATAATGACACGTGCAAAGACTTGGAGTTAGAAAACCAAAAGGGAAGAACACGCTCAGCATTTGAAAGCTGAAAGAACTGAAGAAAAACTTCAAGCCTCGAGTTGCAATAGTGAAGGATTCTACAGGGGAAATACTGAATAACACAGGAAGCATCAAAAGAAGATGAAAGGCATACATAGAGTCACTGTACCAAAAAGAATTAGTCAACATTCAACAATTTCAGGAGGCAGCATATGATCAAGAACTGATAGTACTGAAGGAAGAGGTCCAAGCTGCACTGAAGGGAATGGCAAAAAACAGGGCTCCAGGAATTGATGGAATACCATTTGAGATGTTTCAGCAAACAAATGCAGCACTGGAGGTGTTCACTCATCTATACTAAGAAATTTGGAAGACAGATTCCTGGCCAACCAACTGGAAGAGGTCCTTCTTTGTGTCCATTCCAAAGAAAGGTGATCCAACTGAATGCGAAAATTACTGAACAATACCATTAATATCACACACAAGTAAAATTTTGCTGAAGAGCATTCAAAAGCAGCAACAGAAAACACCCAGAAATTCAAGCCGGATTCAGAAGAGGACGTGGAACCAGGAATATCATTGCTGATGTCAGATGGATCCTGGCTGAAAGCAGAGAATACCAGAAAGATGTTTACCTGTGTTTTATTGACTGTGCAAAGGCATTCGACTGTGTGGATCATAACAAATTATGGATAACATTGCGAAGAACAGGAATTCCAGAACACTTAATTGTGCTCATGAGGAACCTGTACACATATCAAGAGGCAGCTGTTCAAACAGAACAAGGGGATACTGCATAGTTTAAAGTCAGGAAAGGTGTGTGTCAGGGTTGTATCCTTTCACCATACTTATTCAATCTGTATGCTGAGCAAATAATCCAAGAAGCTGGACTATATGAAGAAGAACAATGGATCAGGATTGGAGGAAGATGCGTTAACAACCTGTTATGTAGATGACACAACATTGCTTGCTGAAAGTGAAGAGGACTTGAAGTACTTACTGATAAAAATCAAAGACTACAGCCTTTAGTATGGATTGCATCTCAACATAAAACCAAAAAAAAAAAAAATTCCAAACCCGGTGCCATCAAGCTGACTCTGACTCATAGCCGCCCTGTAGGGGAGAGTAGAACTGCCCCATAGTCCTTACAACTGGACCAATAAGCAACATCATGATAAACAGAGAAAATATTGAAGTTGCCAAGGATTTCATTTAACTTGAATTCACAATCAATGCTCATGGAAGCAGCAGCCAGGAAATCAAATGAAGTATTGCATTGGGCAAATCTGCTGCAAAAGTGTTACAAAGCAAAGATGTCACTTTGAGGACTAAGGTGCACCTGACCCAAGCCATGGTATTTTCAGTGGTCTCATATACATGTGAAAGCTGGACAATGAATAAGCAAGACCGAAGAAGAATTGATGCCTTTGAATTATGGTGTTGGCAAAGAACACTGACTATACCATGTACTGCCAGAAGAACGAACAAATCTGTCAAGGAAGTACAGCCAGAATGCTCCTTAGAAGCAAGGATGCCGTGACTTCGTCTTATGTACTTTGGATATGTTATCAGGAAGGAGCAGTCCCTGGAGAAGGACATCATGCTTGGTAAAGTAGAGGGTCAGCGAAAAAGAGGAAGACTCTCAATGAGATGGACTGACATAGTGGCTGCAACAATGGGCTCAAGCATGACAACAATTGTGAGCATGGCACCAGACCACACAGTGTTTCATTCTGTTGTACATAGGTTTGCTATGAGTTGGAACTGACTCGAAGGCACCTAACAACAACAACAGTTGTTGAAATACTGTACAAGAACAAAGAAAAAGAGATATTAATACTGTTACCACACTGATGATTAAAGAAACAATAACCAAATACAAATTTTTACAATGTTTATGTTGTGGAAAGGCAGGTTAAATTAAAGGAGAATGAAGCTGGATGTTGAAAATGGAGGAGATTATGAAAAGGCTTTAGAGATTGATGGCACTTGTTTTCAAATTTGATT